AGGCAGGGGGGTTAAAATCTCAGGTTCCGCTCAAAACGGAGTGGCTAGTCCTCACTGTTGCAGAGATGAGCTTGGAAGAGAAGCAACAGAGGAGGATTGAGGAATGAAGGTAGACGTTCGCAAGGCTTTGTGAACATGGTGGGGTTCGGTGTGTGTCTTAAGTTGTACTTCCATTACTTTGTGCAGCCGTTTTGTGTAGCTCCTGCCTGCCTTACCCTCGGGGGGGGGGGGGAAATAAAATGTCCTTCTTTTGCACTGTTTATGCTGATAGCAGACTCCTGTCTTTTCTGAGTACAGAATCCGAGTTCCTCAAGAGCCCTTCAGTTGGTTCCTGCTCCTTTGAAACACAATATGCACAGCCTAAGCAGCAAGGATGTTGCTAATAACTCCATGGAATTTATTAGCTGGCAAAAATAATCTGCTAGCCTAACTGCCTACACATGCTTCTGGGAGTCACTAGTGGCCTGAAAATAAAAGGAGCCAACTTTTTTTTTAAAAAAAAGCTCCCCTCTTTGTTTGCCTGGAAATTACTCTTTTCACCATAGGTGACTAGGAAAGGGTGTCTTGCTTAGAAGCCTGGGGGGAGAAGGAATTGTCTATTTATTATTTGCTTTTCTCCACGAGGTGCAATTTGAAGTGACTTACAAAGTGATGCAAACATTAAAAGCAATTATAAAAAACCAGAGTAAAATTTTTAAAACCCCAAAAAACAAACACCAGTACATCGGGGCGGGGAACAATCACTAAAAAAAAAAAAAGTGAACATTGATAGAATTAAAACAATATCTACAGATGATCTATTAAAAACACAGATAATAAAAAAACCCCAATACAGCATGGCACTAGTCAGTTACCAGAAGAAGGCATCACCTGCCAATGGAAGGAGGCAGCAAAGAGGGAGCCAGTCAGGCTTCTCCAGGGATGGAGTTCCAAACTTGCCTGGGAGGAGCCACCACCAAGAAGGCCCTGTCTCATGTCCCCGCCAAGCAGGCCTGCGAAAAAGGCCTTCCCCGAAGATCACAGAGCCTGGGCAGCTTTGCATGAGGGAACAGCCTAGAGACCTAAGCCTTGTAGGGATTTATGGGGCATAACCAGCACTTTTAACTGAGGCCCCGAAACAGATCGGTAGCCAGTGGAGGTGTTGCATCAAGGGAGTCGTCTGTTCCCTGTAACCAGGCGGCAAACTCTTTCTGAGCACTGAACACGCAGAGAGTGTTGCAGTAGTCCAAATGGGGTGTAACTCAGGCATGTGTCACTGGGGCCAAAACAGACATGGAATAGTAGGGGTGGGGACCCCAAGAGTCATCTAGTCCAACCCCTCCATGCAAGAATCTTCTCAATCTTCTCTCAGACTGTATCTTTTGTTTTTCTTTCTATAATACATACCGGCCTTCCACAATATTTCTTATTCTGTCCATTTTATTTCTTTTTCATCACTATTATAGATACATTCATTTTATTATCCTATTTGCCTCCCTGGGCTCCTTTGGGTGGAAAAGCTGGGATATAAATCTACTAAAGGAATAATAAAAAAAATAGAGATTTGTTACAGCACACTTCCAATGGTCTTGATGCAGCCTTCAGTCAATAGAATCATAGAGCTGGAAGGGACCCCTGAGGGTCATCTAGCCCAACCCCCTGCAATGCAGGAATCTCATCTAAATCATCTCTGACAGGTGGCCATCCAACCTCTGCTTAAAAACCTCCAAGGAAGGGGAGTCCACCACCTCCCAATGGAGTCCGTTCCACTTTCAAATGGCTCTTTCTGTCAGAAAGCTTTCCCTCATGTTTAGTCAGAATCTCCTCTCTCGTAACTTGAAGCCACGGGTTCGAGTCCTACCCTCCAGAACAAGAGAAAACAAGCTTTCTCCATCTTCCATGTGACAGCCCTTTTGAAGGTGGCTTTCTTTTTCTTTTTTTTAAAGGAATATTTATTAAGGTTTTACAAAAAAACATAGGTTTACAGAATATAGAAAGTTAAAACAAAAATTAACAAACTAAAAAGCACGCATAGGAAAAAGGAAGAAAAAAAGATACAAAATGCAAAAAAAAAGGAAAAAACACAGATAACTAAAAGAAAAAAATTTAAAAATAAATCCATTTTTCAATATCTTTAGGCTTGTTTGCTTATTTCCTTGACCTCCTCACACCTCCCCTTTTTGTATTCCCATTTACAAAAACATTTCAGCAAATCCTTACCCTCTTTCATTTATCTTTACTCTATATCTTAGCCTATTATAACTATATTTTTTCATCCATTGTCAATCCGTATTTGCATATTCTTATTAATCTTGTAACCAATACCACTTATTTTCAATCCAACATCATTTTAACATTCATTAATTTTACAGTATTTCTGCAAGTAGTCTTTAAATTTCTTCCAATCTTCTTCCACCGACTCTTCTCCCTGGTCTCGGATTCTGCCAGTCATTTCTGCCAATTCCATATAGTCTATCACCTTCATCTGCCACTCTTCCAGTGCGGGTAAATCTTGTGTCTTCCGAAGGTGGCTTGCATATCTCCTCTCAACCTCCACTTTCCCAGGCTAAACATACCCAGCTCCTTCAACCGTTCCTCATCAGGCTTGGCTTCCAGACCCTTGATCATCTTGGTTGCCCTCCTCTGCACATCTTCCAGCTTGTCAACATCTTTCTTAAATTGTGGGTAGGTATGTCCTGACCAAGGCAGAATAGAGCGGTACCATTACTTCCCTTGATAGGGACACTATCAAGACCTCCTTGTCATCTTTCCAGAAGAACAGCGGCGGCAAATCACATGTACAAAGCCTCGCTCCATTTAAATATATAAACACCCAGAATTTCTTGCAGCTGAGGTCAGTGGGGTTTTGCTCCCAGGGGGATGAGGACTGCAACCCTAAGGTGCAGAGAGCAGGTGTGGTTATTGTGCGACTGGCCGCCTGACCAAGCAAAGCAGCCAATCAGAAGTTCAGCAAGACGTTGCGCTACTTTAGCCCTGGAAACCGAAAGTTAAGAGTTGTGCTTTGAGGAAGAAAGGCAGCCCTGCGCTCTGACTCCCCACCAGGGCGAGGAAACGGGGAGTCTGACAGATTAGCTTCCGCCTCTCAGTTCCTCCACCAGCGCCAAAACTTTTCAAGGGGGCTTGCGAACCAAGTTTGCAAGGAAAATCCAGGCTTTTTGCAGCTCTGTGCCAGGTAGGTCAAACTACGTAGTTCTTGCCGAGGAGGAATTTTATTTGTTCTGCCAGGGGAGTTAAAAGATTCTGGCCTCTTTCCCAAGGCAGGCCCCATGACGAGCCACGACTTGAGACAGACAGACAGGCGGAACCAGAGGCTTGTTCTCAGCAGCAGGACACCTGGGATGAATGCAGAAGGGCAGCACCTTCAATAGGACTGAATGGCTGAATCCTAAAGAGTTGGGTTTTTTTGCAATAGTGCTGAGGTTGAGCTGAATCAGACTGGCACCCTTGAGATTCCTGGGGCTTCAGCTGCCCCCAAAGCCCAGTGCTGCTGCCTGGATCCAATTGGTGCCGAGTCCCAAATATGCCAAGTTAGCAAAGGTTGAGCTAGGTGCAGCAGCAACAGAGCATAAGGCCATTTCAGATGCTCCTATTTGAAATCAGGCCTTTTATGCAGACCCCATGAGGACTGGAAACTTACTGTGTTTTTAGCAAATTGCTGCAGTTAAGCAGCAGAGCCTGCAAACGATCCTTCCCCTGGGAATCTGACAAGCCCCTGCCTGTCAGTTTAGCGGAGGGTTGCCAATCTGGGCACATTTGGAAATGTTGGGTCTGGCGTGAACATCGGCCGAGCTGCATGCGGTGAGAGGGAAGGAGAGAGCGAGGCCATAACCGAGCCTTGAGGGTTCCCAGTATATGAGTCACCTTGAAGGTGAGACCTCAAGGCAGCAGACGTCTCAAACGTGGCAAGTTCCCAATCCCACGCTAAAAAGGGGTTTTGTGGTGGGGGGGGGCATGGCTCTGCTCGAGATCTTGAAGAGGTGCTGCCGGTCAGAGCGGTCAGCACTGGCCTAGAAGGACCAGTGGTCTGACTTGGTCTGAAAACAGCTTAGTGCATTTGGATTGGACGAGGGGCTATAGATCAGGGGTAGTGTCTGTGTGTTGCCTGTTTTTTTGGGGGGGGGACCCACCCCCTGCCTCCTCCAGTATCTCCAGCTAAATGAAGAATCCCAGGCAAAATCTTGTAAAAAATAATAATAATCAAAGTTTATATATGCCCCTCACTTGAATATCCTGTTTCCTGCCTGAACCCATAACAGTGACCAGTTCCGGATACTATTAGCTTAACTTAAAGATATTTGAAACAGAGTCGGTCAAACAATATTCAGAAAGCCGATTCTTAGAACTGCCTTGAAATCCATCCAAAAAGAGTGTTATTTATGTTTTAATCTTCCCAGTTGATCAAAATCCGGAAGGCTACATTAATTTAATTTCCCCCTTAACGTTTTTTTTTAAAATGAATTCATTTATTGTAACTTATTTATTAATTTCCTTCTAAGCCTTCTCAAGGCCATTTGAAAGATAAGATAAGTTAAAAGCAGTTAAAAGCAGTTAAAAGCGCGAGAACAAGAAGCACATATAAAACAAGGCCAATTCTCGGTTGGTTCGTAAGGACCAAAGGTTTGGGAGCCGCTGATTAATTGTTTTCTAAGCAATTAATCCGGGACGCAGGTGGCGCTGTGGGTCAAACCACAGAGCCTAGGGCTTGCCGATCAGAAGGTTGGCGGTTTGAATCCCCATGACAGGGTGAGCTCCCGTTGTTCGGTCCTTGCTCCTGCCAACCTAGCAGTTCGAAAGCACGTCAAAGTGCAAGGAGATAAATAGGTACCGCTCCGGCGGAAAGGTAAACAGCGTGTCCGTGCACTGCTCTGGTTTTGCCTGAAGCGGCTCAGTCCTGCTGGCCACATGACCCGGAAGCTGTACGCTGGCTCCCTCGGCCAGTAAAGTGAGATGAGCGCCGCAACCCCAGAGTCGGCCACGACTGGACCTAATGGTCAGGGGTCCCTTTACCTTTTAAGCAATTAATCCAGGGCATAAATGAGGCTTGCCAAGACCCAGAGATGTTCCCAAATATTTCCTCCACCTTTTACATTGCAGGTTTGCACAGAAGACAAAACACCAAACCGAAAAAACCCAGAGGGCAAAGATGGCAGGCTGATGACATCTCCTCTTTCTTGAACGTTTTGGTGAAGATACGAGTAAGAGGTGGTGGACAAAATCTCACTGGGAAGAAGCTGATGGCCTGCTGGCATGGTGGAGATCCTCCCTCTGCTGCCACGCTTTCACCCCTCCAGGCCCCAAGATGTTTTTCCAACTGGGGTGCTGGCCTCTCCAGACCACTCGCCAAGGCGGCAGAGGGCTGTACGGCACCTCCGAGCATGGAGGGCATCTTCAGGGTCTTGGCCGCGATCCCGGGACACAGGCTGGTCCAGTACAAACACAAGCTGAGCTGCAGGCGGCAAGGCGGGAAGAGTTGCAGGCTCCTTCAGGCCATGATTCTCTTGACCCTGGGCAGAGAGACGGAGGCCAGACTGAGCCTGGAAGCCTTGGAGAACTGTGCTGCCGTGGCAGACATCTACAAGAGCCACCAGCGGAGCGCTGCAGCAAGCAGGGCCGATCCAGCCCCTTCAAGCCAGGATGCAGGTGTGGCGCTGGCTGTGGCCCAGATCTATTCGTTGTTAGTAGAGGAAAAGCTCTGTGGGCCCCTGGCCAGAGACGAGGCTTACCGTATCGCCATCAAGGCTTTCCTTGAGAGTGACGTCCCAAGGTCTGCTTTTGAGAGCCTCTTGAGCGAAGCTGAGCAAAAGTGTGGGCTGGATTTCGTGCCTGCGGTGGCAAGCAACAGCTCCAGCGCTCCGAGATGCGATGTGGGGAAGCCTTCCTCCAGAGCAGCAAAGAGCTCGCCCATGCCAGTTTTGAGTTCCTGGGCTCCCTCCGAAATCCAGCCTCTGTGCTCCACGGGCAGCCCGGCCTCGCTGCTCAGCCACCTTGAGATCAGCCAGTCTCCAACGTTGGCGTTCCTCACCCATTCCGTTCAGCATGGTGTCCCCGAGCCCAGCAAGCTGTGCAGAAGTGGCCCCAACTCCCTGGTGCAGCCTGGAGAAGTGGGAGCCGCTGCCGAGTCTCCAGCCAGTTCTTGCTCTGGGGGACCAGCGGAGCCCGTCGTGCAAGGCCAAGAGAAAACCAGGCAAACCAGCGATCCTGGAGGCAACCATTCTTGCTTGTCGGTTCAGCCTCCCCCTAAAATTACGCAGCTGCTGGAAGATGGAGAAAACAGGGAACCCCGAAGTCTGGTGGCCTCGGAACCGCAGGGTTGTGCAGGATGTCCACTCCAGAACTCACAAGCGCCATCCACACCTCTGCCTGGTTTAGAACCTTCTGCACTGTTTGTTCCAAGAACCGTGGAAGATTCCTCTTCCCTGAAGAGGAGCTTGGAGACTGGGTCCTCTTCAAGCTCTGGTTCTCCTCCTCCTCATTCATCAGGACCTCCCTCGACAGATCTGCCGGTGAGGAGCAACCCTTCTTCACTTTTGTTGTGGTCCACGCCCCCGAAGACGAGACAGTCGCCTGCCGGGTGAGGGAGCGGCTGGAGGCCCTGGGCGTTGCCGGTGGGGCAACGGTCAGTGAGGACTTCCTGGTCCCTGGGCACTGCCAGCTCAGGTGCTTCCAGGATGCTCTGGATAACTCAGCCTTCACCCTCCTCCTCCTGACGGAGAACTTCAAGAGCCGCTTCTGCGTGTTCCAGGCAAACGTGGCCTTGATGGACTCCTTCCAGCGCTTCTGCAAGACCAACTCGGTGGTGCCCTTCATTGCCAAAGAGAGCCCCATGAAGAGGCGAGAGATGCCTTTCCTGCTGGCGGCGATCGTGCCGCTGGATGAGACCTCGCCTGTCTTCGCCAGGCGGGTCAAGAAAACGTTCTCCCCAGCGGTGATCCGGGAGAAGAGGGCCCTGTGGAATATCTCAAGGCAGATCCGGAACCAGGAGCGCTTGCAGGAGCAGCAGAGCGAGTACCAGCAGGCCCGGCAGCGCCTGTCTGCCCTCAGGGTCAGCTTGCAAGCTCCGATGCCCTTGCAGAGGGGCTTTCTGGGGCTGCAGACCCCACCTGACCACCCATTTTTCTACTCTGAAATGCCTCAACCTCAGCTGGGGCCTGATCAATTCTCCCATCCATATGTGTTCTCACGGGGTTCCCCAGGGCTCATGTCTGGGGCACCTCCGTCGCACCTCATAATCCAGAATGCCCAAATGGTCCAAATCGGAGACTACAACCAAATGCAGGTGGAGAAGGCATGTGCGGCGGCAGAAGAGGAAGAAGGTGGTTTGGACGGGAGAGAGAGACCCGGAGGCTGAAGCTCAAAGCGCCTCCACCTCTTTGTGGCCTTGTGATCAGGGGCACAGCCACATGTAGAAACTCTGTTCTGCTCCTCCTCGACCCAAAATGGGCGCCAGAAGATCTGGAGGGGCAGCAGGAAACGGGAGCCCTCCTGGAATGAGTTGGTTTGGTTGAACGAAGTTTGTCAAATCGAATCGGAAATGTCCGAAAAATAGAAGCAGTTCGCGTAACTCTCAGGGGAACCGAATGAGGATCCAGTTCGTTTTGGAGCAGAACTCAGAACAGTTTCTCGCCGGTTGCCTGATTTGAGTTGACTTGCATGCCGCTTTTCAATCAATTTGTTCCCTGGCTTCTCTATTTGGCTGCAGGAGCTTCCAATCTGAAGCTGCGCCTTGGTTTCTGAACGTTTTGGAAGTTGAACGGACTTCCGGAACAGATTCCGTTCGACTTCCAAGGTACAACTGTATATGAAATACAGAGCATGTCAAAACTGACAGAAGACAATTTAACAAACACAGAATGAATTCAACAGTACCAAAAACAAGAAAACAAAACACACAGCAATCTAGGCTTAAGTACATATAAGCAAAGCAAAATGAGAGCTAACTGACAATCAAGAATGGGTATAGTTCATCTCTAAGTTTATTCTCTTACCTGTGCTTTTGGTCTCTTTAGGACTTCAACCTTAAAGACCATAATAGTTGGGGGGAAATAAATTAATCTGTTCACATTCCACTCTGTCTCTATTCGTTCTGCTGCTTTCTTCTTAGGGCACTTTTGGCCTAATCAATTTGTTCCCTGGCTTCTATTTGGACGCGATTTTAACCCGGAATTTTCCTGCCCGTTTCCCCTGTTTTCCACGATTTGCTGATTCAGGCCACCCTAACTCCTCTCTGGAAGCTGCTCCACACAAAAACACTCCCATCGAAAACAACAAACGGACAGAGAGATCCACGTAAAACTGACAGAAGAGCTTAAAAAAAAGAAGAAGTAATTTTCCACACACACAAAAAAAATGAAAAATAACAATACACAAAACACAAAAACAAGCATATGAAAAACAAATCCAAATCTTACAAATTAATAATATAAACACTAAAAAGAAAAACAAACATTGACTTCCACCAATCCACAGCACCTCCTTTACCTCTCGTTGTGTCTTCCTGTCTTCCTGATCATCTCTATCCTAGCATCTAGATATAAATCCCTCTTTCTTATCCTTTCATAAGGTTATTCCAGACTCAGCCAGATTTCTCTCCTCGAACCTTGGCTTTTAAGGTATTCATTTAGGCACTCCCATTCCTTTTTCACTTCACTTTTTGGGTTTTGTCTTATTATATCTGTCAGTTTGGCTAATTCTAAATATTCTGAGAGCTTACATAGCCACTCTCCCCTAGTGGGTAACGGATTCCATTTCTAGTACTTAGCCACCAGGATTCTTGCTGCAGACGTTGCGTATAAGAAAAAATTAGTTTTGTCTTTTGGAATATCGTCGTTTAAAATTCCTAAAAGGAATGCCTCTGGCCTTTTACTGTATGATATTCTTAGTATTTTCTTTATTTCTTCGTGGATCATGCCCCAAAATTTCCCAATTTCGGGGCATGTCCACCACATATGGTAGAAGATTCCTTCCTCCAGCACCAATTATTATATGTTTTATCCATTTTTGCCAGCCTTTCTGGTAACAGGGACCACCTATGATGCATTTTCATATAATTCTCTCTTATTCGGTAACATGCTGTGAAATTTATAATTTTTGTCCACAGTCTTTCCCATTCATTATATTCAGTTGAGCGGCCCAGATCTTGTTCCCATTTTTTAATAGCGTCACCTTTTCCCTCCTTTTCTATTTTCCCATTTTGTAACAATTTATATATTTTTGGGACGCGGGTGGTGCTGTGGGTTAAACCACAGAGCCTAGGACTTGCCGATCAGAAGGTCAGCGGTTCAAATCCCCGCGACGGGGTGAGCTCCCGTTGCTCAGTCCCTGCTCCTGCCAACCTAGCAGTTCGAAAGCACGTCAGAGTGTAAGTAGATAAATAGAATCATAGAATCATAGAGTTGGAATAGACCACAAGGGCCATCGAGTCCAACCCCCTGCCAAGCAGGAAACACCATCAGAGCACTCCTGACATATGGTTGTCAAGCCTCTGCTTAAAGACCTCCAAAGAAGGAGACTCCACCACACTCCTTGGCAGCCAATTCCACTGTCGAACAGCTCTTACTGTCAGGAAGTTCTTCCTCATGTTGAGGTGGAATCTTCTTTCTTGTAGTTTGGATCCATTGCTCCGTGTCCGCTTCTCTGGAGCAGCAGAAAACAATCTTTCTCCCTCCTCTATGTGACATCCTTTTATATATTTGAACATGGCTATCATATCACCCCTTAACCTCCTCTTCTCCAGGCTAAACATGCCCAGCTCCCTTAGCCGTTCCTCATAAGGCATCGCTTCCAGGCCTTTGACCATTTTGGTTGCCCTCCTCTGGACACGTTCCAGTTTGTCAGTGTCCTTCTTGAACTGTGGTGCCCAGAACTGGACACAGTACTCCAGGTGAGGTCTGACCAGAGCAGAATAGAATAGGTACCACTCTAGCTGTTACTATTGTTTTATTTCTTTCCCAAACTTCGAATAGGGCCTTTCTCACCAAATGATTAGTGAAGCCTCTATGTGCTTATATTTTATCGTGACCCAGGTAGCCATGCCACCTGAAAACTTTGTCCCAGCCCTCCAGGTCTAGGATTTTCGTATCTGTCAGTAACATCCAATCTTTCAACCACGTCATGAATGTAGCCTCAAAATAATACAGCTTGAGGTCTGGGACCATGAACCCACCCCTTTCTCTGGACTCCATCAATACTTTGAACCTTACTCTTGGCTTCTTACCCTGCCAAATAAAATTAGAAAGATCCCTTTGCCAGCCTTTAAAACATTTTGTCCCAATAATTATTGGGATCATCTGGGGAGAAAAAGAGCATTTTTGGGAGAACTGACATTTTTATCAAGGATATCCTACCCCATAAAGACAAGTTCAGTTTATTCCATTTATTTAAATATCCTTTTATTTCCTTCCACTTCTTCACATAATTATCCTTGTACAAATTGGTATTTTTATTTGTAATCCAGATCCCCAAATACTTAGCTTTCGTGGTGATTTTAAGGCCAGTTACCCTTTCCAATTCTTCCTGTTCTTTTACCCCCATATTTTTCGTTAATAATTTAGATTTTTCTTTATTTAACTTGAAGCCCGATACTCCTCCATACTCAGTCAATTTCTTTAGGGCTTCTTGTATACTTTCTTCTGGATTTTCTGAAGTAATAATTACATTGTCCATAAATGCTTTAACTTACCCAGACTAATCTCCTTAATTTTTGGGTCCTTTCTTATTGCTATTAGGAGTGTTTCTAGTGTCACAATGAACAAAAGTGGGGATAGAGGACATCCTTGTCTGGTGCCTCTTTCAATTTGGAATTCTTCAGTTATTTCACTGTTAATTATTAACTTAGCTTTCTGGTTTTCATAAATCTCTTTAATACCATTCAAAATTTTGTTCCCAAGTTTCAAACTTTCCACAGTGTGAACCAGAAAGTTCCAGGCCACACTGTCGAAGGCCTTCTCCGCGTCCACCAGTGACAATGCCACCTTCTTACTAGGTTTCATATCAATAAATTCTAGAAGATCAATCACTACTCTTGTATTATTTTTTATCTGTCTCCCTGGTAAAAAGCCATTCTGATCCTTACCTATTATTCTGTTCAAGCATTTTCCAATCTATTTGCTAACACACCTGCGAAGATTTTCTAATCAATATTCAATAATGAAATTGGCCTGTAATTCTTTATAATATTTGGGCCCGTTCCTTGTTTTGGTAGTGAGGTTATCAACATTTCATTCCAAGAGTCGGGGACAGAAGAGCTTTTAAAGCGGAGCAGATACACTTTTCGGATTTTCTGAAGACAGGGAAACTCAGGATTTTGCAGGGTGAAAATTTGGAACAGCAGCTGTTTGCAGCGAACATTGTATAGATGAAGGGGTAATTAAAATATGTGTGTTAGATTAAAGCAATGGGTGCTACCACCCCCTAGGGTGGGTGGGATGACCCAGGGGGCGCTAATAGGTGAGGGGGGAGCTGGTATCGCTGGATCAAGTTCACGAGTCTCTCTGAATTAATTAAACTCAATAGTTTCAACTGGATTTTGACTGAATGTGTAATCAATTGTCACTGTTCTGAATTTTATTGTGCTGTTATCTCTCTTAGCCGGTCGTGCAAACCACTGGTTTTAGTGTGGTCGGGTGCACTGGGGGACCGAGGAGGCAGTGAGTGGCCTGGAAAAAAATGGCCTGGGAAAAAATGTTTTGGAACAAGCCAGTGGTTTTCAAGTGTGCCGTTGCACCCTGGGATGACTTGAATGATGGTCAAGGGTATCGCGGGCAACAGTGGCCTCTGTCCCTCTTTCCTTCTCTCCCTCCACTGATGCCCTCTTGCGTCTCTGCCTCCCAAAGTCTTCCACGGCTGTTTCTCGCAGCAGCTCTCCAGTGAGCAACTGGGCCACCAAAATGCTCCACCAGCTCAAGTTCCCAAACCATCTTCTGAGGCGTATAATGCATTGCAATGATCTAACTTGTATAGAGTCCAGGGGATGCAGGTGGTGCTGTGGGTTAAACCACAGAGCCTAGGATTTGCCGATCAGAAGGTCGGTGGTTTGAATCCCCGCGATGGAGTGAGCTCCCGTTGCTCGGTCCCTGCTCCTGCCAACCTAGCAGTTCGAAAGCAGAAAGTGCAAGTAGATAAATAGGTACCACTCTGGTGGGAAGGTAAACAGTGTTTCCGTGCGCTGCTCTGGTTCGCCAGAAGCGGCTTAGTCATGCTGGCCACATGACCCGGAAGCTGTATGCCGGCTCCCTTGGCCAATAAAGCGAGATGAGCGCCGCAACCCCAGAGTCGGACACGACTGGACCTAATGGTCAGGGGTCCCTTTACCTTTTTATAGAGCCCAGAGGAGCGAGAGGCCAGCCAACCAGCAGTCTCAGAGGGGTACTTGCCTGGAAGCGGAGCCCATAAGCAAAGTCAGGTCCAGTCCTAAGGCTGGACGTATGGGAGACAGTCCAGGGGTCAGGGAATCCAACAATCTAACCGAAAAGCAGCAAAGGTCGGACCAGGAACGACAAAATGTTTCCAGCAACTGACTCGAGGCTGGAAGCCCTGCTTAAGAAGGCTGGAGCCAGCTGGTTCTCCTCTGAGTCCTTGAAGGCTGATCAGCAGCAGGTGGAGTCAGTAAACCTCCTGCCCTCTTCAGGCTGCTGTTCAGCGGGTAAAGCGGATTCCTGGCCCATGCGCCAGGGAGTTGCTCCATCCCCTTGATGGTTTGGGTTGCCCCTTTCTGAAGTTTTCTTCGCAACTCTACCATTCCTTTCCAAAGGGGGGACGGGGACGAAATGCCTGTCGCACCACTGCTGTGAACAGAGTTCACGAGCCAGAGGTGCCAGTTCTGTTTTGTTCCTGACAGGAAATGGGGGGGGGGTGAGGGGGGGTGATTACATTTGCTAGGGACAGTGGGCTCCATGATCACTGCAGATGGTGACAGCAGCCATGAAATTAAAAGACGCCTGCTCCTTGGGAGAAAAGCAATGACAAACCTAGGCAGCATCTCAAAAAGCAGAGACACCACCTTGCCAACAAAGGTCCATATAGTTAAAGCTATGGTTTTCCTAGTAGTGATGTATGGAAGTGAGAGCTGGACCATAAAGAAGGCTGATCTACGGAGAATGGATGCTTTTGAATTCTGGTGCTGGAGGAGACTCTGGAGAGTCCCATGGACTGCAAGAAGATCAAACCTCTCCATTCTGAAGGAAATCAGCCCTGAGTGCTCACTGGAAGGACAGATCGTGAAGCTGAGGCTCCAAGACTTTGGCCACCTCATGAGAAGAGAAGACTCCCTGGAAAAGACCCTGATGTTGGGAAAGATGGAGGGCAGAAGGAGAAGGGGACGACAGAGGACGAGATGGGTGGACCATCTTCTCGA